GCACCCACGGTGCCTCCCCAGTCCTTGGGGTCCACACGTTTTCAGAGGCCACCCGTTTAGCTCTGAAGACGGGGAGCACATCCATCTTGTTCACTAGTGTATCCCCGATGTGTATCTAGCAAATTGCCTACTCATAATGGGTGGTTAATAAATAATGAACACATGAGTAATTCGACAGTAGGTAAACGGTACAATATTTTTATAACTGCCTTATAATAGGATCCTCAAGTTCCAGGTAAAGTACTTAAGAGAATAACATCTAATGAAGTATTTTTAATCTGAGATAATTACAAAGTCAATCAGAATATAGCCTTTCTTAATTTAAGCCAAGTTCGTTCTATTCGTTTAATGGAGTTGGCTAAATAAAAGCTCAAATAAGCGTGTGTTAATTATACTAATTAACAAATTGAAATATATGAGCTATGCAAAACCTAGTTAAAAATCTGAAGTCACTGTGTGCATGTAGTAAGCACATAGTAAGGTAGTTTCTCAAAGGGACAGTTTTTGTTGCCTTAGTTATTTGTGGGTTTTCTCTGAGTATTTAAGATATCTGAGGACACACCTTTTGGAGAGGAGCAAAGGGAGGGAGGAATGCTGTAACTCTGGAGGTTTTTTCCTCCACACTTAGCAACATACAACTAAGAAATTTTATAGCCAGTATCAAAAAGGAGATATTGCATCCTACTACCCACTAAGAATCTACTGGCAAATCTTCCAGATATATGAAGAAAGCCTTAGGATCATCCTTATTTTAAATTCCATCTTATTTCATAAAGAAGTTTATTTGTCCAACATGTCATCAGTATCATTTATTTCAATAATCCCAGAATTCACATTTCATCTCCAAAGTTACTTCCTTAAATAAAACTTCCCTGTGTTGCGGCAAGTGTTACAGCGATTGATCAGGGAAAGAGCCGAGCCGAGCCGAGCCGAGCGGCACACTGAAGGTTGGAGAATCAGACTTTATTTCGCCAGCGGGCTCAGAGGGGCATGCCACCAAATTCTGAGTGCCGCTTCCTTATTTCTCTCCAGTTTTATACACTTCTTGAGGTTACACACAACCAATATCCAATTAACGGTGAGATTAGTAGGATCAGCCGTAAGCTTCACAGGTATCCAATGTATCCAATCAGTAGTGGCTTTTGCCTCAGGGCCCCCGGGCGGGGTCTTTCCCTATCACCTGTATCCTTGACCAGGTCAAATCTTAATATCCTTTCCCAGAACTATTAGACTTTTACGTTTTTGACAACTGATTAATCTATCAAATCCCTCCAGAACTCTAGACCTCAAGCTTTATGAGGACAGGAACTATATCTGGTTTTCGCTTCCCTCTGTATTCCCAGGGCCTGGTACAGAGCAGGTACTCAAAAGTACGGAGACCTGATAGGTAAATGATCACAGACGCTACTTTTCCCTAAGGGTGTTTGCTGAGTCCAACAAATTTCAATTTCCATTTTGATGGCTTTGAAAGGTGATAGGAACAGAAATCACCTCACACAAGGTAGGAAGTTTAACAAGAGATGCTCCTTACACTGAAGTGGGACATAATGGCTATCTAGTAAGAATGCATTGGAAATTAACCAATCCTTATGAGGAATTTAAGTCTGGGGTTAATTTAGGTATTCTAGGAAACTTCAAACCATGACCTTGATTTACTTAACCAGTGTGGTAGTACAACAGGCACTTGGCAGAAGTAAAACACAAATTCTTGTATTATTCAGACAAATAATTTTTCAAGTGTTAGGACCAGCACATAGTCAAAGATAATCAGGCACACAAGGAAATACAACACCATGAGCACAAACCAGCAGAGACAAGTAACAAAAAATAACATCTAAACCAACATTTTGTTGTTAGTTTATCAATATGCTTGGAAATTAAGAAATGCATCTCTACACTTATTCATGATAGGAATTAGAATATATATGTAACCAAAAGACAGCAAAAATATTACATATCAAAACTTGTGGTAAAATCTACTTTGAAAAATAGTTTGGCAGTTCCTCAAAAAGTTAAACACAAGAGGTACTGTACAACTCAGTAATTTCACTCTTATACACCCAAGAGAACTGAAAACATGTTCACATAAATGTTCATTATTTGCAATAGCCACAAAGTGTAAACAACCCAAATGTCTATCAACAGATGAATGGATAAACAAAATGTGGTATATCCACACAATGGATATTCAGCCACAAAAAGGAATGAAGTATTAATGATAGATGCTACATGAATGAACCTCAAAAACATTATGCTAAGTGAAAGAAGTCAGACACAAAAAGCTATAAATTATATAATTTCATTTAAATGAAATATCCAAAGTAGGCAAATTCATGGAGACAGTAAATTAGTGGTTGCCAGGGGCTTGGAAGAAGAGAGAGTGGGGAGCAGCAGCTAATGGGTTTGATGTTCCTTTCTGTGGTGATGAAAATGTTCTGGAATTAGATAATGGTGATGGCTATCCACATTTGTGAATATACTAAAAATCACTGAATTACATACCTTAAAAAGGTAAATTTTATGGTATGTCAGTTACATCGCATTTTTAAAAACACTGTGGGACGCAGCTATGTGAAAGAAAATTTATAGCCTTAAATGCATGTATTAAACTATTCTTACTAGTTTGCTGGTAAGAATACTTTCTTGTTTACTTACTATTCTTACTAGCAAGAATTCTATACTGGTTTGCTTACTATTCTTACTCGGAGATATACTTAGAAATATCTGCTAGAAACATTAACCTATAAAACTACAGTAAATTTTAAAAGAACCAAGTCGAATTCTAGAAATGAAAAATACAACAAATTTTAAAACATGATAGGATAATTTAACAACAGACTATACACAGCTGAAGAGAGAACTGGTTAACTGGTAGGTAAGTTGGACAATCACCCTTATTTGTGTAATAAGTATGTTCACCATATGTTTGCTGAAGTGTCGTGATGTCTGCAATTTACTTTCAAATTGTTCAGCAAAACGTGTTCATCTAATGTGTATGTAATATAAAAATGTTTAGTGAGAAAGTGAGAAAAAGCAAACACAGCAAAATGTTAACAACTGGCAAATCTATATAATGGGCATATGGATATCCAATGTACGACTAACTATATACTCTTGATTTCCAAACACCACGTTATTGTTTTGTTTCTACTTCAATGGTGGTTTTTTTCTTAGCCTCCTTCATTGGTGCTTAAACTTTTCCCTGATCTCTTTATGTTATAATGGCCCAGGGCTCAGGCCTTTAAGTTCTCTCCACTATCACAACCACTTCCTTGGTGATTTCATTCAGTCCCATAATTTGAATAACAACCAAAAACTAACTGCCTGCTACCACTTCAATCTAGACCTCTTTCTCAAACTCAACTCTCATATCCAGGTGCTTACTTGTCATTTCCACTGGGTTGTCTAATAGACACCTGAAATTTAGCATATCCCAAAATGAATATCTCAGAATTTTCTCTACCTATCACTTTCCTCATCTCAGTTAATGCCACCTGCACTTCAATCTTGAATTTTAGTTGCTTAGTCCAGTACCTTGGATTTTTCCTTTTCTCCTCTCCTTATCCAATCCATCAGTGAGTCCCTGAACTAATCAATTCTCCTGCACCTTCACAATGTCCACCCTGCTTTGAGCCACCAAGAGCTCTCACCTGGATCCCACTGGCCTAATTGGCTTCCCTGCCTCACATTATGTCCCTGTACCACTTCCCTTGCCAAAGCCAGGGCAATCTTTTATTTTTATTTTTTAGAGATAAGATCTTGCTCTGTTGCCCAGGCTGGAGTACCGTGGCATGATCACAACTCACTGTAACCTCAAACTCCTGGCTTCAAGTGATCCTCCCACCTCAGCCTATCAAATATATAGGGCTACAGGTGCATGCCACCATGCCCGGCTAATTAAAAAAAAATTCTTTTTATGGAGACAGGGTCTCACTATGCTGCCCAGGCTGGTCTTGAACTTCTGACCTCAAACAATCCTCCCTCCTCAGCCTCCCAAAGTGCTGGGATTATAGGTGTGAGCCACCATGCCCAGCCCAGAGTGATCTTTTATTTTTTTATTTATTTTTTTTTTTTTTGAGACAGAGTCTCGCTTTGTTGCCCAGGCTAGAGTGAGTGCCGTGGCGTCAGCCTAGCTCACAGCAACCTCAAACTCCTGGGCTCTAGCAATCCTGCTGCCTCAGCCTCCCGAGTAGCTGGGACTACAGGCATGCGCCACCATGCCCGGCTAATTTTTTTTTTTTTATATATATATATTAGTTGGCCAATTAATTTCTTTCTATTTATAGTAGAGACGGGGTCTTGCTCTTGCTCAGGCTGGTTTCAAACTCCTGACCTTGAGCAATCCGCCCGCCTCGGCCTCCCAGAGTGCTAGGATTACAGGCTTGAGCCACCGCGCCCGGCCCCAGAGTGATCTTTTAGAATCTAAGTCACTTCATGTCATTTTGTACCCTAAACCTCTGTCATTTTTATTTTGTAGAAGCCAAAATCTCTAATGGTCTTTAAGAACCTATGTCACCTGGGACCAGGCCCTGCTCTTTGATCCAGGACCTACTCTCCCGCTACTCTCCCCTTTGCTCACTTCACTCTAGCCGCACCAGTCTCCTTACCATTCCTCACACATGCTGAGTTTCCTCCCACTTTAGGGCTGCACTGACAATTCCTTCTATCTCCTAATTATGCATGATGAAAACTAGCTTTTCATCATGGGGGCAGGACTTAGACATTAGTATATTTTTAAAATGTTCTGTATATCTTCAAAATAATCAAGATTATTTTAGCCTTGAGTTAGCAATGGTTGAAATTGAGTGATTTAGACATGGTGACCATTACACTATTCTCTCAAACAAATATAAAACAAAATTAAAGCTTCCATGGTGATTCTAATGCGCAGCAGGATTGGAAATCACTGGTCTATAATTCCCAAACTAGATCATTTTGCCCATAAATAATTGAGACATTTCTATTTGAAAGGTTGTTTTAATAAAGTAAAAAGATGCACATAAGATGAAAAACATCAAATTTATTTTCTGAAATACAAGGAAAAACAGTTATGTGTTTGATTCACTTTGCAATATACATTAACAATAAAAACACCTGTCCCTTGTCCTACTTGTTTCAACTTAACTGCCAACACTGTGGCATCTGAAAGAAGGAAAAGAAGATTTCTGGCCCTTGGTTTGCAGAAACTGAAACCTCCAAGAGAACATGTGAAGCGTATACCCCAAACTCAATCCTCCTGGGTCACTACAAAGGCTTGTTAACAGTGAAGCACCACACAGTTGAAAAGTCAAGGGCTTCTTGCTGCCCACCTATCCAAAAGCTCTCTAGTAGTCGATCGCAGTCTTTGAGGTCTTACTACAACTTCCACTAATGCTTAACCCACTTTGAGGGAAAGTACAGAGCATGGAAGAATGAAATTCGCTTCAGTTTCAAATGAACTAATATCTAAATCTGAAATCATCAAAGGTGGCATTTTTCTTTTTTAAAAAAGAAACCACTCAAATGAAATTATTGGTTTGAAAAATACTTGTTAATAACCCAACAAGGAAAAATTAAACCATCATTCCCCTCCTTTTTTTTTTTGCCATAATAATGCAAATCTATAAAATGTTAACTTAAGTCTTAGGGAAGTGGAACCACATGAGTTCTACCCAAAATGGCTATTGAGATCATTACATTTCATCTGACCTCCCCTTGGAAAACTGGGGGACCTGCAGAGATTGGCTTACTTGTGGACTACTGCCATTCATGCTTACCAGATGGCTATTGACGACACGAAGCTGCTGTATCACCATGCTCAGATCTTCATGTAATCTAACTATTGCACTTTTTACCTCCCCTAGAAGAGCTATAATGGAATTGTTTGCTTCAGGTTCCCTGGGCAAGCCTTTGGTTGTCTGAAAACTAGAACAGGACAGGGAGGTGAAGTGGTCTACATTTTGGGTGGAAAACTCTACCCAGTTAGTGCTAGAAATATGACTTTTCTTTTTAGCAGAACCAGAGTTATCTGTTAGACTAATTTCCAGTTGATTGAGGTTGTCACTTTCCTCTTCATCAGAAGACACTGGGCCCCGAGGAGCAAAGGAGGGATGAACTTTGGCTGTCTTATCTCCATCTTTAAAGGAGGCAGAAGACAACTGTTGATGGGACAAAGTCCAGAAGGAAGGTCCGGCCAGAACTGGGGGTAACAGATGAACTGACTTCTCTGGAGAGGCTGAATCAGGAGATGACATGGATAAAGGAGAAAAGGAAGATGTTCCCTCAGAAGTAGTTGAAACTAAAATGTATAAATGAGAAAGATTTATGCAACATACGAATGAGAGTAATAGCTAAAATAATTTTATAACATAAAAGCCTATCTGGAAAGTCTCAACATAAATAAACTACTTAGAATTTTAAATGTTAAATATTCACAATAAGCCTTAAAAAACCCAAAGCAGGAAACAGAGAAAATCTATGGATGTATTATATATCAATAATACCATGGAAATGAAACTAAAATAGATTTATCAATATTCATCTTGACTCCCAAAACCTGCCCAACATATTTTTACACTAAACTTAATCAGAAAGAGCAGGAAAGTATTAAACCCCATTCTACTGACTGCCAGCATTTTAAGTTGATATTTAAAGTAGAAAGTCTGAGAAACCTGTAAGTTTGATTCCTTCATCTTTTTCCCCCTGCGGTGATTATTATGGCAAAATGAACTACCAACTATAAGACTACAAGTACCCAAAAGTTAGTAAAATTAATCTTTTTCTCTCTATTGGTCAAATATAATCAAGACTGAAGTCCAATCCATCTGACATCCAGAACACATCCAGAACATCCATAGCACATGTATATGATTTTTTTTCACTAAGAAACTATAAGTAAAATAAAAAGCATTCTAAACCTATTTTCCATAAAATTAAAGATTTGAGAAGATTTTTACCTCCTTTTAGGCAACATCATATTAAATCTCTTCTTTCACACTTCATTCTAAATCATTATTTCCCAGACTGTTCTGAGGAACACTGTGTTCCTTAAGATGTTAGAAGATGTTTTGTAAAAACAGGGCTTCCTAGTCAAATAAGAGCAGACAATTGCATATTGTGCCTCCCAATAGATTAACAATGTCCATTAGCATATTTAAATTTCTGATAACTCTATAGTCATTTAATTTCTTCAAGTATTTTCCAAACTTTATTCTTTTTATTTTTAATTTAATTTTATTTTTTCCAAACTTTATTCTTTTTTTTTTTTTTAAGAGACAAGGTCTCACTCTGTTGCCTACACTAGGCAGGCTGGAGTGGAGTGGCATCATCATAGCTCACTGCTGCCTTCAACTCCTAGGCTCGTGTGATCCTCCTGCCTTAGCCTGTGGAGTAGGTGCATGCCACCACACCCGGCTAATTTTTAAAAATTTTTGTAAAGATGGGGTCTTGCTACGTTGCCCAGGCTGGTCTCAAACTTCTGGGCTCAAGACATCCTCCTGCCTCAGCCTCCCAAAGTGCTGGGATTATAGGTGTTAGCCACTGTGCTTGGCCTCCCAAATTTCTTAAACACAGAACTTTTTTCCCTTGGAATATCTATTTACATTTATTTGTGATATGTGGTACAAAGTGAAATCTAGTTCTAAAGTCTTTGCAACTAACTCTGAACTTGCTACTTAAAAAGGCTTATTGATTGTAAATCAAAGAACAGGGAAATTGGTGCTTACCACTTAGCAAACATGACTTATCTTTCTATATTATTTTATTTTGCTTTACATATTCATGTACCTTCTAAAATAAATTAGACCTCCTATAAAAATTATGGCTGGGGCAGGCAGTTTCTATTTCTGCTTCAAAGCTCTCTAAGACCTGTCTCCTGTTCTCAGGAAAAATTCCAATCACAAAACTTTTGGGGAATGAAATGAGTATTCTCAGCTGATGCAGCAGCAGGACATGAAAAGGAAAGCAAGAACATCCTCAGCACGTGGTCAATGCAAGCCAAGAACACTTAGGAATCTAGGTCAGGCAAATCCAGACATTCTATCCTTGGGTTAGAAAGATGGTATGATGGTAGCGGGCATGTCAATGATGACAGCCTCATGTATTAGTGTCCCGAATAACACTGCTATACTCTGATTTGGGTATGTGTGCTGTGTGTCTGGATAGCACTCGTCATAGGACATGTCCCTTCGACATTCTCCTGTGTTGGCTCTCCCATTTTCTGTATCCTATGTCTTTCTATTCCTTGGCTTACTCTCATTTTGGTATACATATTCTCCAGTAGGTCCATGAAAAAGGATGGACGAGAATTAAACCTTTTGAGAACTTACATGTCTGAAAATGTACTTAGTGATAGTTTGGTTAGATAAAGAATTCTAAGTTGGAGATCCTTTTCTCTCAGAATTTTGAGGCCCACATCTCACTATTGCTACTCAGAAGTTGGAGCCATTCTAATTCTTATTCATTGCATATAACCTATTTTATCTCTGAAGTATTATAGAATTTCCTCTTTATTCCTGGTGTTCTGAAGTTTATCAAAGATGTGCCCTGAAGTAGGACTATTTTCATTCACTTTAGTAAACTGAAAGTGGTACTTTCAATCAGGGAACTTATTTCCTTCAACTTCAGAAAATCTTAAATGATTTAATCAATTATTTTTCCTCTGTATTTTCTCTATTGTCTCTTTCTGAACATCCTCTTGTTCAGACATTAGAACTCCTGGACTAGTCCTCTAATTTTCCTATTTTTATTTCCCATATTCCCTACTTTTGTCTTTTTGCTCTACTTCTTTGGAGATTTTGTCAACTTTAGCTTACACTCTTACCATTGAGTTTTTTCATTTCTGCTATTATAATTTCCAAGAGCTATTTTTTACCTTCATAAATTCTTTTTGTAACACACTGTTCTTGTTTCATGGATATACCATATTCTCTTATTTCTTTGAGGATATTAATGATAAGCTTTTAAAAACAGTTTTCAAAAATCAATATAGGGGGGCAGGTATATACATACATAATGAATGAGATGTGCACCATCTGGGGGATGGTCATGATGGAGACTCAGACTTTTGGGGGGAGGGGGGGAAATGGGCATTTCTTGAAACCTTAAAATCTGTACCCCCATAATATGCCGAAATAAAAAAAAAAGAAAAAAAAATCAATATAAAGAGACCATCATGTTTATGATAGCACTATTTACAATAGCCAAGATATGGAATCAACCTAGGTCTCCAATGTAGAGGTGAGGGGAAACATCCCTTTTCTCCTAAAGGTTCACTGAAAGATCAACTCAAAATTCAAGCAGATTAATAAGAGAAAGGTTTATTTACTGTGTGCATTGGGAGAACCACAGGGTGATTACTCAGTATCTCAATGGGCTCCAGATATTTCTGCACCTGATGTTTAGAAGGGAGGGGGAGATAATATAGGTAATTCTTTTTAGGGGCAGTAAATGGTTGCTAGGGAGGATGAACGGATAGGGGAAACAGATTGAATTGTAAATTAACCTGAGAGACAGGTATTATGTTTTAAATGACTTGGGCCAGGTCTGGTTACATTCTTGATCTTCTTTCCTAGAATATAGTGAGGTAACAGGAAGGCGATGGAAACTCATTGTTCTTTTTGATGTGTCAGTCCGGTTTATGCAGATGGAGGGCAAGCCTCTTCCAAGGGCCTGTTAATCTCTAAAAGCCTTTAATTCAAAATATTCTTTATACCAAAGAGTCACATTCTGGGGTGAAATTTCCTGAGCTCCTTCACCAGCAACAGATGAATGGATAAAGAAAATGTGATATATATATACAACGAAATATTATTCAGCCATAAAAAAGAATGAAATCCTGTCATTTGAGGCAACATGGATGGAACTGCAGGACATTATGTCAAGGGAAATAAGCCAGGAATAGAAAGTTAAACACCGCATGTATTCACTCATACGTGGAAGCTACAAAAACGTTGATCTCATAGAAGTAAAAAATAAAAAAAAGGATACTAGAGGCTAGGAAGGGTAGGGAGAACAGTTTGTGGAGGATAAGGAGATATTTGTTAAAGGATACAAAGTTACAGTTAGATAGGAGGAATGTGTTCTAGTGTTCTATAACACTGTAGTGTGAATACAGTTAACACCAATATATAGTTTCAAATAGCTAGGAGGAGGATATTGAATGTTCCCAACACAAAGAAATGACAAATATTTGAGGTGATGGATATACTAATTACCATGATCTCATAACTATACACTATATGCATTATAACATCACTGTGTACCCCATAAATATGTCCAATTATTATGTGTCAATTAAAAAATTAAAAAAAAATTTGTTTCTCTTCATAGTATATGTTTCCTCAAAGTTATTTTTCTTTTTTTGTTTTTGTCTTAGTGTTCCATGATAGAAGCTTTTTTCAGACATCTGATATTCCTTGCTAACTGCTTATGAATAAGAATATAGCTTTAACTGTGAGTGTGGGACTGGTCAACTTTGAGCTGCAGTGTATGGTCATATGTTGGGAAACAACAAATGTTCTTTTCTCCGAGGTGGGTTAGGTTCTTATGAAAATAATTTTCCTATCTCCTACCTAGAGGGTGAAGGTCTAGCTACCAGTGGACTGGGAGGTTGGGAGGGAAAGGGGGTTGCAGCATCAGCATTTGGTGTGCACGGTCACTTAATTCTGTGGTTTTGGTTGCAATACCCACACCTTCAACGCGACCTAGCACCTCTCATCTCAGAGACCTTCCATCTACCTGCTCCAGAAAACAAATCTCCAGATTCTTCCAGAAGTTGTGGAGGTGGGTGGGTATTTAGGGTAATTGTTCACCTGCTTGACAAAGTAGAGACATCTAAGAACTGAACTACTTTTCAAATAGTTGTTCTCTAATTCTCTTTATTTAGCACCAGATGTGGAGTAGGTTATATGATCCCATTTTAAATATGAGATAAAGCAATCTTAAAGAGGCTAAAAGACTTTCCTAAGATCGCAAGGTTAAAAAAGGGCAGTGATGTGATTCCAATTCAAGTCTCTCTTATGTCAAAGCATATGATCTTAATCACTGTGTGCTATACTTCCATACCATTCTACTGTATTATAATTATTTTTACTCTATTACAAAATTATATTAAATTCTGGGTATAAAATTTAGAAGGCAGGGGCTGGGCACAGTGGCTTATGCCTATAATCCTAGCACTCTGGGAGGCCAAGGCAGGAGGATCGATTGAGGTCAGGAATTCAAGACCAGCCTGAGCAAGAGCAAGACCCCGTCTCTACTAAAAAAAAAAATAGAAAAATTAGCTGGGTGGTGGTATGC